AATGCACAATGTGCGTGTTCTTGTTTCACATTGACCAGTTACGTATAAGCGTAGATAATATCGGGGTTTGAAGATCGATCTACCTATGGTCACGAATATTGGGTTGGTTACTAGCCAACAGGATTACTCGTAAAATGAAAAAAAAAACAACGGAAAAAGTCTGACCATTAGGAAAAGTATCGTTAATAATCTTCAGGCGAAGTGTCGTTAATAACCTTCATGAGAATTTTGAAGGAGGATAAGTTGAATAACATTTAGGATAGAAATAGCGCAATTAATAACAATTGTATACTTGTAACTCTACTTAATAAAGCTCTAACTTTTTTGAAATAACTCTTATTACTAAGAACATAAATTGCTCACCTTAAAAGGAATAATAAAATAAAATTAACGTTAATAACGTGCAAAATTTACGCAATCTGAAATTTTAACTAACATTGTTGGATTCGTGATACAGATTAATCATTAATTTCTCGCAATAGTTAAACCGCTTATTTATGCAAGTGATTCAAACTCTAAAAGGAATTTCGTAATCAGGATTGTACCAAGTTTTGTTGATCTTGTTCAATAAAATTTTAGAATTTTACCCACGAAACTGTTTTTCTGCTCTAATAACAAAAATAATTTTCAATTTTAGAATAAACTTTAATTTAACTTTACTCAGAATCTATTTAAAGCAGATTGATATCGATCAGTCTAGATCTAATGTCTGATGATCTACAACACCTGGAGCAGGTTCTCCATAAAATCAGGTATGACGGTGTAACACGGGTCGACCCTTAAAGTCTTGATTCTCATGTGTTATTAGAACCACTCCTAGTGCTAGAATCGCCAACAATGGTTTAGGGTAACGTAACACAATCAAGTTAAGTGTCAGCCTTCGAAATTTTTATATAAGAAGCAATTCTTTTCTTGAGTAATTTTTTTACTATATAACACATTAACATCTGACTCTAATTTAAAAAATTTAACCCTAATATAAACATGCTTTTAAAGAATTTTGTTGTGCGTCACATGAACGCAAAATTTTATTCCGGCGATACTAAAGATTCATATTCATTCAAATACTGTAACCATCTTTTCCTTTTTTTGGACTGTATCACTTGCAATAATTGGTAATTACATATGCGAGTACATAGTACCTTAATCTTCAAATGACTGTTACTATTTACCATATAAATAGTCATTTTCGCTTTACAAACTCCGAATTACTACATAAATACATTGCTTACGTACAGACAACTATAGAAAAAAAAATTTAACTCTTTCAAAATGATAGATTTACCGAACGAATGTCTTATTGCGATAATTATAAATCTTAATCAACGTAAAGACTTATTTTCTTGTCTTCTTGTAAACCGTACATGGTGTAGAATTATTGTACCAATTTTATGGAAAGAAGTAGAAATATTTAAAAGTAGTAAGCTTGTAAGAACTTGTATTTTGACTTTAAATTCTAATGAAAGAACTCAATTAGAAGAAAAAATTCAACTTTTACCATTTAAATTGAGATTTCCACGTAGTCCAAATGCACTATTTGACTATACTACTTATACTACTATTATCAAGATTAATTCTGAATCTTGGTTTGCGGGTGATGGAGTTACTGATTGGTACATTAGTGAAGGGCGTGGATTTCGTCTTGTACATGATATCGATCAATATGATAAAGATGCCGTTCTAGCAATTAAATCTTCATTGGTTATGAAATTTTTACGAACAAATAATTCAAGTAAAAAGATTAATAATTTATGTATTTTTGGTGATGTCACAAATTTATTAGTAAAGATTTTTGACAATTGTATAACTCTGTCCTCCTTGAGCATAATGAACAATTGGTTTAGTTACAATGCCTCTAAAGCTCTATCAAAGGCTCTTTGTAAGAACTCTAATTTAAAATCCTTGGAACTTCATAGTAATCAACTTGGTTCTGAAGGTGTAAAAGCATTGGCAGAAATTGTTAAAAGTACTACTCTGAATTCTTTAAAGGTTTGTTCTAGTGAACTTAGTGGTGAAGAAGCAAAGACGTTAATAACTGCTCTTTCCGATGCTCTTTCCAAAAATATTACTTTAATTTATTTGGATCTTATCAAAAATCATCTTAATTCTACCACTGGAAAAGTATTAGCAAAATCTCTTTATAAAAATACTACTTTAACCTATTTGGATCTTTCTCATAATTTTTTACAAAATGAAGGTTGTAAAGCTTTAGCTGAAGCTCTTAATGAAAATACTAAATTAACTCATCTACATCTTCAAAATAATTATATTGGTCCGGAGGGTGGAATAGTAATAGCTTTGGCTCTTCAAAAAAATATTTCTTTAACCCATTTAAATCTTAGTGAAAACAAACTCGGTCCTGATGGTGGTCAAGCATTAGCTAATGCTCTTTGTAAAAACAAATCTTTAAAACATTTGCTTCTTTGGAATAATCAACTTAGTTTTGGTGGTGGAAAAGCTTTTTCCGAAGCTCTTTATAGAAATAAATCACTAATATGTTTGAATCTTAGTGATAATCAACTTGGCTCTGAAGCTGGTCAAACATTTGGTGGTGCTCTTGAAATGAATTCTACTTTAACTATTTTGTATTTATCTGGAAATAATTTGGATTCTGAGGCAGGGAAAGCTTTAGCTGCCGCTCTTTACGCAAACAGGGCCCTTACACATTTATATCTTGAAAATAATCAACTTGGCCCCGTGGGTGAAAAAGAACTTGAAAAGGCTCGTTCTAAAAATAATATAGTTCATTTAGGGATTTCTAATAATAACACTAATTATGTCACTAGTTATGTTGCCCCTTAAAAAAAAACAAATAATTATTGTTTATATTGATTATTCACATAACACAGAATAATTAAAAAAACTTTTATATCTAAATAACTTTTTATACTTGATTTATACCAATTAAAATCTAACAAAATTACTTTATTCGATATTAATTAATGCAGTGTAAATTTCATACCTATCTAATAATAAACAATAAACTGCAATATTATCAGTATTTAAAAGTCTTAATATAACAACTTTAATTATTATATAAAATTCAACCTTGACAAATTAAATATTGGTATAATTTGATTAGGCCATACAAACCTAATCAGTTGGTTCTCATAACCGGCCGGTGAAAATTTTATATGTATCTCATATATATAATTTTTTGAAAATAAAATTAAAAACTTGGTTGTCGGGTTACTTTTAAAATTTTTATGTTAGTCCATACAAACCTAATAAATTGGTTCTCATAATATAAAAATTTTAAAATTGACCCGGCAACCCGGCAACCCGGCTTTTAATTTTATTTTCAAAAAATTATATATAGTACATATAAAAATTTTTTATGATTTATTTTTTGAAAAACTCGCACGGATAGTAAATATTCTAAAAAATTTTCTTAATTTTTGTAAAATTTTACTCGACCGATTATGAGAACCAATTGATTAAGTTTGTATGGCCCCATGAGAAACAATTTATTAAATTTGTATGGCCTTAGGTTTCTAATACAAATTCCAAAATACCACAACTCTAAAACTTTCAATACATTACAATACCCATTTCAGTACTTAATCCAAAAAAGGGTTCAACAATCTCTCTATTTGCTATGCTCCATAAAACACAAATCAAAACTAACGATTACCATTAATATACCGAGAATAATTACCTTAACTACATTAAAACTCAAACAACACTAAAATCTAATTCTCCATCTTTCTAACACCAAATTAGCTAACCTGTCTACAATAATTACATTACACACAAAACCATACCCTACTAGAACCACAAAAACCTCTTTAATCTTCTAATCATTCAATCATCTACTTCAACCAATATCAAAATAATTCTAGCACCTAATGAATAAAACCACAACTATAAACAATCTTAAATTATTACACAGTTTCAATTCCTACTTTTAAATAATATTCAAAAGACCAAACCAAAAAAAAAAATCACTAACTAATCATATTTCAAAGTTAAATAGAACACATAAAAAGTGCAAGACAAAAACATCCAAAAAATTCTTAACAACTTTAACAATCCAAAAATCATTAACAACTTAACCTAATAAAACGCTACCTACATACAACCAAAAACTTTCATTGAAAGCCTTTAGCATACTTGAATATAATCCCAAGCTCCAATCAATAACATATCTAGTTTAATGGTAAATTACTCTTTTAATGACTTTATTTAATCATATTGCAACAAAACCGCATAACACACAAACTTATACCGAAATGCTAATGAAATGCTTTTTATAAATACGAATAGCTAAATTATGCACAATTTAGGCATTACACGATTGAAATTTCGTAAATAACGTGCCAATTTTTCAAATAGCATTTTTAATTCGTACAAAAGTTTTGTACAACGTATAACGTAAGTGTACAAAATCTTAGATCTGATTGGATGAGGACAACGTATAAAATAGGGCATTTGATTGGATGCAAGGAAGCGATATTTACAAAATCTTAAATATAGTTAATCCATATGAATGCATGGAGTGAAATGGTGTGAACAAATACGTTCTTCTGATTGATTGTCCTTCACATGACATGATATTTATCCGGTTTTGTAAGGGCGTAAGCCTTATTCCTGATTTTACCTATTTTGTGGTATTGTGCGACAACGTCGAGCAGCTACCTTATGGAGTAATATGTACTACGTAATACGTACGTAGTACTGTATCACTTGTATAAATGATACAAAAATGCCCTCCACTACGTCCCGGATGATCCTAATATTTTAAATCATTTATCCATAAATATTAGCTTAATTTCAAAATGAATAAGTTACCGACTGAATGCCTTGTAGAAATATTTAATAACCTTAAAAATTACCCTAGATACTTATTTCTATGTCTTCTTGTAAACCATCAATGGAGTAGAATTATTGTTCCAATATTGTGGAGTGAATCATTAAAGTACTACAATGATTTAAGGCTTATGAGAGTGTACCTTTTATCGTTAAGTACTGATGAAACTACACGATTGAATAAACTCTTAAATATATCACTTCCATATAATTCAAACCTCTTATTTGATTATACATCTTATACTAGATATGTTGATATTTATTGCTTAAAAAAAGGAATCATAAATTATCTTTGCCTTGAGAGTGATCAAATACCTAAACAATATAATTACATAGTTCAACCAATCGAAAATTCTTTAATTAAAATGTTGGTGCGAAAATGTAAAAAAATCACGTATTTAAATTTTAGTACCGATTCAATGAAAATATTTGAAGAATTTCTTTATGAAAGGATCCCAATTAATTCCTTAAGACTTTGTAACATTTTGTTTAGTTTTAAAGGTATAAAAACACTAGCAGATGTTCTTTGTAAAAACGTCTGCATGAATTCATTAGAAATTCAGAATTGTAATATTGGTGATGAAGGAACGAAAATATTGGCGGAGGCACTTTATGAGAATACAACTTTATCTACCCTAAAACTTCAAAAAAATAATATATGCAATGACGGAGTAGAAGAACTTGTAAAGGTTCTTTATAAAAATACAACCCTAACGTCCTTAAGTCTTGAGTCTACTAAATTTGATTTTAAAATTGTAAACGTACTTGCAAAGGCTCTCTGCCACAATATCTCTTTGACATCCTTAAGTCTTTTTTATACGAAGCTTGGCGTTGAAGGAGGAAAGAAATTAGCAGAAGTTCTTTGCAGAAACACTGCTTTAACCTCTCTGACTCTTTATAGTAATAAACTTGGTTTTGCAGGAGTAAAAGCTATTACAGAAGCTCTTTGCAATAATACCATTTTAACTTCTTTAAGTATTGGATGTAATGAGATTGGTCATGAAGGCGTGAAGGCAATAGTCGAAGCTCTTTATAAAAATAGCTCCTTAACTTCATTGAGTCTTACGTACAATGGAATTGATTTTGAAGAATCCAAGATATTAGCAGAAGTTCTTCACAAAAATACTACACTGACTTCATTAAACCTTTCTCTTAATCGTCTTGGTTCCGAAGGAGTAAAACCGTTAGCAGAAGCTCTCTATATGAACAATACCTTAACTTCCTTAAACCTCAGTCATAATGGTGTTTATATTGACAGAGTCAAAATGTTATCAGAAGCTCTTTATAAAAATACAAGTTTATCTTCCTTAAACCTTGGTTCCAATAATTTTATTCTTAATGATCATGAAGCAATAAAAGTATTAGTAGATGACCTTTGTAAAAATACAACTTTATCCAATTTAGATCTTTCTAATAGTAATTTAACTTCTAAGAATGTACAATTATTAGCAGAGGTCCTTGCAAAAAACACAGCATTAACTTCTTTGGATCTTAGTCATAATCGACTTGGTTATGAAGGAATAAAAGTATTAGTAGAAGCTCTCTATAAAAACACGACTTTAACTAATTTAATTATTTATTTTAATGGTATTACTCCTAAAGAATTTAAATCATTGTCGAAAATGCTATACAAAAAAAACACCTTAATTTCATTATTTGCTTAGAATTATGGATTTTGATATTTAAATTTTATTGAAATATATTTGGCCTTTTAATTTACTTGATTAATTACTGCAAGTTATTAAAAACCAAAAAAATCATTTGTCTTATAATTTAGTAATCTTCAATATCTTATCTGAAAGATTAAATATACTAGTGAATTTTAAAAGAATAGTAAAATAATTTCATTGCTATTGGTGAAATTGTAGGGTTGTTAATGGAGTAACATACTCCGAGCAGCTCTGGAGTGAGCCCAACCCAAGTTGGGGTAAGTTAAAAATATAAAAAATATGTTGAAGTGAAACTGAAGTAAACTGGAGCAGTTATAAGCAAATCTGAAGTGGTTTCAGAGTGAACTTAACCTAAGTTGGAGTAGGTTGCACTGGTTTAAATTTTTTAATATAAAAGGCTAATATATAGAAAATAGCTAGATAAAATGTCAGAAAACAAACATTCAAATATCATATAGATAAAATTATACTAATTAATAAAATTAATCAAATATTAGTTTAAAACTATAAGATGTTATAAAGACATTATACTAAAATTTAAAATTTAAATTAAAATAAAGATAATATAAAATAATTAATATAATTATTAATAAATGTTGAGTAATATAAACAAATAATTTTATGATTATATAATAACAAAAAGATATAAAAACAAATAATAAAATTTTATATATATATAAAACTAAACTAAATTTATCTTATTTTAAAAGATAATTACCAATAAACAATAATATAAAAAATCACTAAAAATATTTTATTGATATATAAAATTTTATTATATAAGCTTAATACTAAGATATTTAATTAATTAATTTAATTTATTAAATTTATTAACTAATAGACTATTGATTATATAAATAATAAAAAGATATAAAAATGAATAACAAAGTTGTATATACTATATATATATATAACTAAACTGATATTTAGCATATTTAAAAAGATAATTACTAATAAATGATAATATAAAAAAATATTAGAGATATTTTTTTTTAAATATTAATGATAAGATTATACTTTTAATTTTATTAGAATTTAATTGAAGTTTTTATAAAGAAAAGTTTGTTTTTAAATTACAAATGAAGAATAAGAACTCACATATAATCTGTGATCTAAACTTACAAGAGTGACCAAGACTCATCTAGATTTAGATTTGAATAATAATATAAGAGAGAGAAATATGGTATTTAATTTATTAAATAGTCCAAAAATCAATTTTAGTAATAATTTATAATATTGAAATAGAAGGTAAAGATAAATTAGAAGAATAAATATAAGTTGAATTAGTAGAAAATGAAATTTGAGACTGTGCAAAATATGAAA